GGGTTCTCCGTGAGGCAGAGCGCTGAGCCCCAGTGACAGGGCTCAGCTTCGGGACGCACCGATCATCAGGGTTTCGAAGTTTCAGCTTAGCTGGATCCAGCAAGGGATCCATGGGAAGACTAAAACTCACCTCCAAGACAGAAGATGTGGTGTGGCTCAGGTCGCTGGTCAGCTCCAGGCGAGCTCTCGCCTCCAGGACATGCACTTGAGCATTAGAAACCTGTAGAAACCTGTATTGTGTGAACTTGCAGGTTTGTAACGACGAGGAGGGTACGTTTTGTCATCTGTAACAGACGGGGTGTAGGTAAAAACTCCATCCTGACAATTCCTTCATCTCCCAAACCCAGTAACTTCAGAAACTTCAAGTATGCATAACAGATGTTCAGAGAAGGAACAGAGACAGGGTGACGGAACACAGGGCCTACACCAGAGAAACTCTCTTCCTAAACAACCTGTCTCCACAGAGACACTGGGGCAACAAACAAGTTATGTATTCCATGAAAACTAGAGTTATGAGTACTTATTCCTTGGTTATTCCGATCCCTAATCTGCAACTGGAACTAAAGTCAACTTTATCATGATTTGCTGCATGTTTGAAATGATGTTTGACACATTTCAGTACACATTTCTACTCAATTCAGATTAGCTAAATGCTATTTCCATTTTCTTTACAGGTCTTGCTCGCAATTCAATTCAATGAGAGTTGTAGAACACTGGAACAGGTTGCCCAGAGAGGTGGTGGATGCTCCATCCCTGGAGACGTTCAAGGCCAGGTTGGACGAGGCCCTGAGCAACCTGATCTAGTTGGAGATATCCCTGTTCCTTGCAGGGGGGTTGGACTAGATGACCTTTGAAGGTCCCTTCCAGCCCTGACCATTCTATGATTCTATGATTCTCCTCCAGCATGGACTTGCTGGACAAATTTAGTTAAGCAATAGTAGGTGCACCCTATTATCACCACTAAGCCTTGCTCACTTACAACAGGCCAGCGTGTAGAATTTTTTGATATGCTATAGGATTGCAAATTATATAAAAGAAATCATTTGGCATCCAATAAAAAGACGACAATTATCCAACATAATGTGTGAAAAAGAGGAATTTACACCCGTACCTTACATGGAGATCAAACAGTTTTTATTTACTACGAAAGAAACACACAAGGAGATTAGAAAACAGAACAACGACAAATATTTACCATTTGAAAATGCTGAAATGAAACAAGGGAAACAATTTTTTTCCCCACTTTCTGTTGCAGGCAAGGCAGTCTTGAAACAGCCATTTTGATGCAGGACCAAGTAAAACTCACACTGCTCATAAAGAAAAAGCAAAAACGTGTTAGAACGCAAATTTAATGCCATTTCCTTTTACAGCAGTGATCTAAAAAACCAGGACAACCAAAGTACATTTCCAGAATCATCCTCTGGGTTTTTTTTTCACCACAGATCTGAGAACAAGGGAAAACAACCCTAAAAATAAGCCTTGTGAATTTTTCCGCTCGCACGGGGAAGCTGATGCAAGTGATTTCCACCGAGGTATGTCCAGAAGTGGGGGCCCAGTTTAGTCTTTGACTGGTGCCATCGTTTGCTCACAGCTAGATACCTCAGAAGAAATACTTTTGCATTTTATTTGGTTGATCTCTGGCATTTAGCTGGATGATGGACAGATTTTTTTTGTAAGTGAACTCGAGCTAAATTTGATATGTTCAAATAGGACTAATCTTCCATTGTTTTAAAGTCACACGGAGGCAAACGGGAGCTTCCCGGACTAAAACCAGTCCCTCTATACAGAAACAAGTATGCCATTAGTCTTGTTCAACCATTACACACAATAATATTTATATCACTTCCCATTAAGAGTTCATGGAAAGCTGTCTTTTCCAGATCACCCAACGTTTTAATGTGCTTAAAATTGCTCGGAAAATCATGTTTCTTGAAACCTGCCGAAAACTTTTACAAATTAGTTTGAAAGGATAACGCAGCTTTTTCCTGACACCTACTCCCAGGTGCTAACAGCAGTGGGTAGATGTTCAAGGAAACGTCAAACATTTCCTTCCACTCAAGCTCAGCAGGAGCGAGGAACCAGGCTAAGGCTGGAGCCGGTGGATGAACGCATCCATTTAGAAGAGCTCCTCAGCAAGGAGGCTGCCCACAGATATTCGGGATTCAAGACCTGCTCCGGTAATGTGGAACGGAAGGAAGAGGAGAGAACAGCAATATCATCCCGAATCCTCCTCCAGCTGCAGCAGATGTAACGGTCCTGGGTGGTATCACTTGTGCTCCTCCCGCCTGAGCACTGGGAAATCTCAACTTTCTTCCACAGTCTTATTTTTTCATTTATCTTTGAACTGCTACATGGTTATATATATATATTTTGATCAGGAGGTATAAAATTAGGTCTCCTTGGGCTGTCAGGTTTTTGGCACCCCAGAGGAATTCAGCAGGACACTGCTCTGAGAGCTTTCCCGTCTCCAGTGCGTAGCTCAGCGGTACAAGTCACCCAGCAACGAGTTTGGGAGAAGAACGGAGGATAGAACATTCCTGTTTATTCAGATGAAATATTTATTCTCTGTACAGCTCATGTGGAGTATTAAAATCCCCTCGAAAGAGAAAAATAAAACAATTTAACAGCCAGATTTCTCAGCATCTGTGGAGAACTGGTACGTGATGGTCAGGCCACCGGACTGCCCATCAGCCTTTCCTGCCGGAGAGCAACCAGCCTCTGGAACCACTTCTCTTCTGCTTCTGCCTTCTCGATAAACAGCTGGGAGACAAGGAGGAGAGGAAGAAGAGGCACAACTCGTCAACTTTCTCTTTATTTGTTACAATCTGATGAAATACCTGTCAACTACTTCGGTGCTCCAAAGAAAAAGCCCGGCTGCACAGGGGTGTTAAAATACAGAGGTGATATAAATACATTAGTAAAGGTGGAGACTTTAATAACTGGAAAGCCAAGACATTCCAACTCCACTCCCCTCCTGAAACAGCCAGTTTGATATTTTATCCAGGTCTTGATCTTTCTTAGCTACATTCATTATGTAGAACTCACATTAGTCATTTTTAACTTTTTTAATTCTTAAAAAAAATCTACTGTAAGTATTGCTCTTTCCAAGCGCTCACAAAGGAATTTGTGTTAAGTTTAGCCACAATGTTTCAAATGATCTGAAGTCTGTCATGTATTTAAAGCTTTACGACGTGGCAAGGTAGGAAAGTCCTGAGTCTTCCATCAGTTTTCCAACTACACAAACCAAAAGCAATTTTTCCTGAATTTTTATTGAACAGGAATTTTTAGATGAACAGGCTCATTAAATCAGTTTGCTGCTTTGTTACAAAACAAGTTTGTAACTCTCAAACTGCATCACTGGTGAACACCTATATTCTCTATTATTATGGTATACATTCTATGCTATCTGTTGTACCTATTCCTGGTTGGAAGACGCAAGGAGTGTGATCCTTTCCAAGCCAAGGAGTGGCCCATCAGTGAGCTGTCTGCAGACCACAGGTGATGTGATGAGCAGCACAGCAAAAGGGTTGTCACCTCAACCTGCTCTCCTTCAACGGGCTAAAGACACAGCAAATACCGACACACTTACATTGGGATGTGCTAAAGAATTATCATCTTGATATTTGATGGCAGTAGGAATATTGGCGGGCGGTGGTTCTTTTTCGGGAGCAGACGCATCAGCAGTTCCAACTCCGATAGTTACAGGTTCCTGTTGCAGTTCAGTAGGTTCTACTGACTGAAAAAAATAAACACATCTGAGTATTTTATCCTCGAACTCCCAAACGTGGCATTCAGCTTCCTTCCCACTGCAACACGTGCCCAGGAAAGGATCCTCATGCAAACGCTTCTCGGCGTGTTCAGGGGGACATGAACACATGAAGTGACAAAAAAGGTATTGCCAAAGGCAATGGGAGAGCTCAGAGAACAGTGGGATTGGGTTTTGGATCACTTTCTGAAGAAGTCGCGTGAATTTCTTGGAGACTTCTGAAAAGGCAAGAAAATGCATGTTCTGGGGAAAACAAAGTGATAACTCCAAACACCTCACTGTTAGGTGGAAAACTGAGCCAGCCTTTGCTTGCCTACTTCCAAAGACAAAAGCATCCGAGTTCCCTAGAAGACTCGGCAGCCAAAATGCAGGTGAAATTCTGAAACCTGGATGTTTTTGGAAAGCTGTCTGAAAACAATGCCGTTTTGTTTCACGGAGTAAATGTGGTTCTTAAAGTCTGGCTTCAGTCAAGCAGAAGTAAAAATATTGATCTCTTCTTTTAATTGCAATGTAAGTGTCTGATTACTTTTAGAGTTTAATTCTTCTGCTTTTCCTAAAAAAAAAAAAATCTTCATGGTTTTATATGATTTTGAAAGAATTTTTAAAAACCAGAGTTGCTCAGCATAGGCAGAATACACTGCCAAAAGAGCTGATTTCACTGAAATTCTTACACATTCACATGTATTCTTCCTTGAAGTCCACACCACGAACATAGGAGAGTCGTCAGTGGGATTCAGGATTGCCAACATCGATGCACTTTCATCAACGGAAGCTGTATTAATAGCGCAGCTCCCACCTGATTTTGAAAGCATTACACACCAAGAAGGATACTGCAAACTTACCTTTTTGACTTCTTTGCTGGATCTGAACGTCTGTGGAACAAAGGAGTCACTTTCAATCGCTTCAATCTCTTTGACTCGTTTCACTTGCTCGACTAGGGTGGCTTGGTCTACAAAGAGAAGGTGTCATGTCAGGATACATCAGTGTGAGCCCACGATAAACGCCGTGTCTGAGCAATGCCTTGAATACATTTTACAACAGTACAGACAAAAAAAAAAAAAAAGTGTAATGCAGCCTAAAATACTCTTTTACAAAGAAAAACTCTCCTATTTAGTAAAAATAGCATCAGTGAGCTGGCCGTTATTGTTCAATGTATGACATCATTCCAGATGCTAACTTAAGAATTTGCTCGAGATGTGCTCGCAGGGTAACCGCTAGATTTAGGGCACGAGGATTTCCTGGAGAAGCTGAAGATTCGGGGACAGTGCAGACAACTCAGTGGAGTACCATCTGTGTGTAGCAGTAGAACTACTTCTGCTCGTGTGGAATTTGGCCTCTGCTGCAGATGTCCTGCGAGATGTGCCATCATCTGTGTTCTCATGACAAGGAATGCGATTAGTTTGGCATTAAGAGTGACTCTGTTAGGTGAATTTGACCAGAAAAATCCCAGAATTTGGTAATAAAATATTCCTAACATGCACCTGAATTCTGTGTGCTCATATGACTCGCAGGTGACAAAATTGCAGCAGTTTAATCAAAAGAGCAAAATCACTTCTTCATTGTACTGCGAGGTCTTACAACGCACGTGTATTTCACAAGATATTTTGGAATCTCAGGTTGAGATTTGATTTCGAGGAAGCAAATGCAGCTCCCAGTGACATTACAGTGCTGAGCAGCTCCTGCCAACCTTGGCATGAGCTACACTGGACATGTCACTGGGGTGCTGTCAGGTAGGCTTTGCTCAACCAGTCTTCTGGATGGATTAGACTGGTAGGAAGCTAAGAGCATTCATAATGCAAGATGCACTTTTTCACAAAAATCAAACTACTGGTGGATGACGGCGCAGTTTTGTATTACAGCTACATTGATCTAAGCTGCCAGCAGGATGGTGGGACTTCTCCCTCCCTCGTGCCTCTCCGGCACTCTGGCGTTACTCCTTTTGCCAAAAGCTATGTGATCAAATTGGCTCACTTGTAAGGCGAAAGCTCATGTTGTGCCACTGCCCAACAAAACGGGACATTGTCTCTGGAACTCAGACACCAGGCAGTGACAGCACGCACAGGCGGGTCCGGTATGAACTCTCAACTAACTCAAATTTGGTTTTAAAAGGTTTTGTACTGGTAGGCTTGAGGTCAGAGCAGGTGTATCTGCACCAGTCGGGGTTCTAACGCTGTCACTACAAACTCAGGACCGTGCCTCTGCAGGTCAGCAATGTGTGGCATATGGTACCGAGGAGGAGAGCTCCTGAGACCCAGGATCGTGGTCTCAAGCGACAAGGTAAAAAAGAGATTGTCAAAAAGATGAGGAAAGAGCAGCTTAGGACAGCCGTGAAGTTTGAGCGAAAATTTCATGAACACACAAGAACGATGGGGAGAGGCTGTTCAGGAGGGCCAGTTGTGATAGGACAAGGGGTAATGGTTTTAAAATAGAGGGAGGTAGATTCAGGTTGGATATTAGGAAAAAATTTTTTACCATGAGAGTTGTAGAACACTGGAACAGGTTGCCCAGAGAGGTGGTGGATGCTCCATCCCTGGAGACATTCAAGGCCCGGTTGGATGAGGCCCTGAGCAACCTGATCTAGTTGGAGATATCCCTGTTTGTTGCAGGGGGGCTGGACTAGATGGCCTTTGAAGGTCCCTTCCAGCCCTAACCATTCTATGATTCTATGATTCTATGAACACTTTAAACACTACATAAACAAAAAATTTAAATAAAAGAGCACTTGTAATTGCATATTTGTAGTATGTACAGATGTATAAAAGGTGACATTTCTTGTTCTAAAGAAACTGAAGGATATTTAAAATTGGGAAAAGTGCCCGCAGACCAAAAGAGCTTGCAGAATTATTCAGAAATTCAGATGTACCAAGTTGTTTCTCTGTACACAAAATTCTAAATCCAAATTCACATATACACAAACACCGCAGAATACTTTCTCTTTTGCACAAGAAAGAATAAATGTAACTTAATAAGAATAAATGTAACTTCTGCAATGACTAACCACTGAAAACTCGTTTGAGTCTACTAATGACAAGTAAATGGAGCTTCAGATGAGCAAATGAACTAACAGCAGCTCAGAAGTATTTCTGGAACGGAGGTGCCCACACTAAATTAACAACCTCATTTTTCTCAACAGGTCACGCCGCAAAACTGTTTTATTTTCAGCCCTGGGTAGTACGGCGTGTTCATTACACTGACTCTGTTTCATTTTCTGCTTCTCCAGATTCCCAGCTCAGTTCATCTTCCTTACCTACTTCTACGTCCACCTGCAGCAACAAGCAAATCTGCGTGCTTTCCTTCAACATTTTAACCAATTTATCTCCATCTCACCTACTCCTGAAAACCATTTGCTTTTTACCCGGTACATCGGGGCCAGCCTGACACGATCCAGGCACTGTATCGGAGAGCGGCGGACGTTTTTTGTCGTGAGCAGCATTTATAAAATAGGTGAGACAGGAAGAGATGTAACTTCTAAGCAGCAAACGAGAACCTGCCTTGTTGCTTAAAAATGATTTGGGAATATTGTTTAGTCTCTATGGATACGACGAACAGAAAAATCAGGAACGTGTTAACTATTTCTGCGTATGGTGAATCTGCGTGAAGTCAAATACGGCGATTGCTGAGTCTGGGTAACTGCTTCCAGCACCCTGACTGCTAAAAGCTCCCGAGGGGAGGAAGGCTGCGGGGGTCGCAGAGACACGGGGTGTCCTCAGCTGGGCTGAGTGGGATCACCGGGAGGGACGTGGTCCGAGATGCGCTGGCTCCTCACACGCCTGGAAGGGTTTTGTTGGAGCCTCAGTAAAGCCTCAGCTTTGGCAGGGCTTAGGACAAGGGCTGCACTACAGCAAAGTCTTTAAGCCTGACTCTTTTGAATTTAGAAGGAAAAAAAATCACTCGCTTACGATTAAGCTTGTGTTTGAAAGTGCTGTTGCCTTGCTGCTAAAGTCTTCATTTTTAAAAAAGATTCCTAAGGATCCCGTAGGAAGTATAAAAACAAATCACTAATGCCCTGCTAGGGAGAGAAAATCGTTAATTCATCAAGCTCTCGGGCACATCTGGTCTGAGGGTAAATAAAGGAATGGTTAAGTGTACCTGCTAGTCCCGGTATTAAAACCAAGTAGCAGAGAAAGGCAGGTGAACGTAGCTTTAAAATCAGTTGCCCAACTCCTATTTCACAAAACCTACCATCAGTTCCCGGCCTGTTACAGCATCTCACATGAATCTTACACAAACCTATGGGAATGACGAATTAGGAAGGGGGCAAAAATCACTAAATGTTTAGAATTACATCAGTGACATTAACTTGGGGAAAATGGACTGGAGGAAGCATAACCCATTAGCGCATGATTTTTTTGACAAAGGCATTATTGGTAGATAAAATGACTTCCATATGTTGTTTGTCAGATGTCAGTAGAAAGGATATGTATTTCATAGTAAAATCAAAAATAATGGAGTCAGAAAGCTAAGAGGCTACAGACAAAAAAAAAAAAAA